CCACCCCCACCACCACCCCCACCCTGGCAACTATTAAGAGCCACACACATACATATACACAGACACACACATTCTCATATGCTGCACTTTTCCCCCCTTTTTTTAAATTTAAAAAATCATTCTGACTCAAAATTAGACACAGTCATGGATTATCACCTGAGTGAAGCACTACTGGCATTTTATGCTTTAAAGTTCTGTGTCAGATAAATGTAGAGAATAAACCCATCAACAGAAGGTGAACTTCCTAACAACATTGCATTGATATCAGACTGACCTAAAATGACAAAAACCTGATTTACAACAGTAAAGTGCTTTTGAGTTGAAGTGGCATCTTCCTCACACACCTACTGGACTGTCACTTGACTTTTTAGTACAGCATAGTGAACCTTTTGTCTGTTGCTTTAGCTTTCTACTCTAGCATACTGGATGTACAATCTCCAATTGTGTTGCATTTTCATCATTTGTCCAATTTGGAACTATCACCATTAAATGCGAGGAATGGGTGCCTCACTCAAGTAGTAATCCAGGACCCCATATTGTGTCTTTGCTTTGCTACTAAGGCATGCATATAACACAACACACACACCTCTCTACGACGTCTTGGCCATTCCAGCATGTGTGCTGCTCAACCTCCATCTCACTCTCACAAAGCATCTCTGGCAGTTCTGAGAAAAACCACTGGTACCGTTGGATAGAGCCCTCAAACTCCCTGAAAGAGAGGGAGAGAGAGCGTTATTCACAGCTGAACGCTTGGGTTGTTGTTAGTTAGAGTAGGACCAATGTACCATATGCTTTTATTTGTTCCAATTTAGACTTGTCAAGTCCAATTCCCTGTGAAATCCCTTCTAATAGACTCTGGTAAGTTACTGAAAGCAACACAGGGATAGGAAACAAGCTCATAGCACTTTTGATAATTACTGCATAATGACAGTCCCGCCTTTACGAAATGGCTATATCCTTTAGGGAGAAAGACACATAAAATAATGATATTGTATTATTCAAATGAAAGTAAACCTACAGAGAATTAAAGGCCTACTGACTGTTTACTGGTGGGGACAAAGTGGCACTTTATTGGCCTATTATTTGCTCTGGATGATTCAAAGAGAAGTTGTCAATGATTGTAAAATACATATCATAAGTACAGGTAGAAAAATATGTTAACTAACAAGGTTTCTCTTGACACTGGCTCTTCTTTCACGGCTAATGGATAGACAGTAAATGACATCATTTTACTTCTTGATTATGGACAAATATTACTTTGATAATAAGAAGTGCAACTGAGGGAAACTAATTTACCTTGAGAGTTTTTTCAGACTGCGACTCTTGTCCCCTCTGGAACCTTTAAGAAGGAATGACCTGGTCGGACAAACAAACACAAACAAGCAAAGAAATACATGTTTAAATTCTGCTGTGACTGAAGGTCAAATGTAAAAAGATACTCTAATGTGTCTCTTTGCAGATTAAATTCACCTACTGTGGCTATATTCTGGCCCCAGATATTCTAACCTCTGACAGAAGAACTCGTACATTTCATCAGATGTATGGGCAGTAACTCACCTCCGGGACTGCTGCAGCAGACGCTGATGAGCAGCCAGACCCGCTGAGGGAGTCGATGTCACAGACGACCTTTCTGAGGTTAGTGATGTAGCAGGGCTCACAGAGGTCGTAACATGTGAGACGGTGGGATTTGCACTTGGCATCATGGGACCGGCTGCCTGGGGTCCACACACCTTCTCTACCTGAGGAAGAGACAGTCTGCAGGGTAGTGTTAGAGGGTAATGATGTGGCTGCTTTTCAGTGAAATGCTAAGTGGAATGTGCTGGAGACAGCAGTTTCTAACCTTTTGAGTCTCACCACAGCCCATCAGATGAGCTCAAGTACCCCTTCATCAGCACCCCCCATCATGTGTCAAATGTGCTCTTTTGAAGAGATTTTGAATAGGATGTTATTTAACACTATCAATTATATAAAAGCGAATTTTGTAACAAGTTTAACATCTAAGACATAGTGACCCTGGCATTGTCGATGTTTAGGCTTGGTCTCCCGTTTTTATATTAAATCATATCAACTCATCAACATATATTTTATATAAATGAGCTTCACAATCTTCCCAACGTCCAGTCAACGCCCAGAAATACCCACTGGGGTACAATTACCCCTAGTTGGGTATTATTATAGCATTTAGTCAAAGACATCTGGATTAATTGACTTATTCTGTCTAGATATCCTACTACCTGGGTCACTGATCATTTTTAACATTCTTAAAAATAACACAGCATTCACCATAAAATCTGTTTATGACACAAAGTAAAAAGCTAAAAAATCCCATAACATACATTCCTTTTTTGTGTACTATTTGCAAACTGTTTCTGTTCGGTGCTGTAAAGAAAAGCAACCCAGATTTACCTTGAAATCCAACACAGTGGAGCACAACACCCGACATATTATAGAAGCCAGTAAGATCTGTTTTCTCCACAGTGGTCTTACTTGTTTACAGAGATTACTGCTGTCTTAAAATTCATGCTGCAATCATCTATTTGCTTTAAATGCTGCACATACCACATAAAGGGTTAGAGGCCAGCCTTTGGTGATGTGTCTAATGAATAAGAAGCGTGATCAAATATTCAATTAAGTGGTATTTTCTTATTAGCCACAATTAGCAGTGTGATTATGCTTGTGTGTGTTTGTTTACCTCTCAGGAATCTACTCTACTAAGTCCACAATGTTCTCTCAAAGTTGGATGGCTACTCTATTTCTTCCTCCAACAGTGTGTGCATGCATGCATGTGTTTGTGTGTCGTCTGTTTGTCCAGAGATTAGCCACAGGAACTTTCTCATCACTCAGAACCAAGCTGCATTCTGGGTATCGGTTGTCCCGCCAACCACAGTCTTTGTCTGGCACTGGATCTGTATTCACACTTTCATACGCACACACACAAACACACACAGACTAAGGGGAACCCCAGATTCTCTGAAGAATGAGGCTGTTTTTAGCCCATCTAGGTACAAGGCTTTTGTGAGGAGATCCAACTGCCAGGCTGAAAGAAAACCCACGGCCTTCCTCATTCTGTGTCCAAAATTCAAATGACTTTATTATTGGGGTATATGAGTAAGGATGGTTTAGCAATCTGTTACTGATCCTTTTTTAATCATTGTATTTTACAGGGGCACATATGACGGGCATGTTTTTTTGTGTGTTTCATCCTTTTTTCAGTAGACATGAATCATAAATGTATTTTAACTAATCATTTAAGGTATAGTGAGTATAGGGCAAACCACTTGCAGCTTTCCCTCCATCCCATCATCCCCCCTGCTTACTGTGGCTGTAATGCGTGGCCCATGCAGTTGAGCGTGCAGTATAGCATCGTTCACATGATTTCGGACTGCTAACAGAGCTAACTCCATGCTGTTGTGGTTGCTGCTGGTTGCTAAAGTAGCAGCTAACCGTTGGAGCAACACCACCAAACTCCCCCAGGGGGCGCCAAGCTCTGATACACCCATCTGGAACAGAGGGAATGGACAGGAAGGGTGGAGAAATGGGAAGAGTGAATTCAGATAAGGGGAGAAGAGGGGGAGAAAGAGGGTGCAGAGAGGAAGGAGGGGAGGGATAAAACAAAAACATGTTTTAATGTTACATTTTGCATGTTTTTTAAAAGCGGGTGAATTGGCTTAGATGTGCTGCATATATTTTACATCAAACAACCCAATCAGTGACAAATTGATAGTGACACTTCGCTATAATTAGAAAAACAGATGGATGGATGGCTGAGCCAACGACTGAGATGACTGGCAGTTTCTATCTCATGACAGAAGAGCCAGGAACACATTTTCCATAAACCAAGTTCCCTTCTGTCACAGAGAGGCTGTTCCTACTTGTCCCTCTGCCTCTCCTTCACTTTACTGTGTGTTTTTCCTTCCTTTCTTTTACTGAAGAGGATAAACATTATGGGAGTTTCTCCATCACACTTTCTTTCCTTCCAAGAAACTCTCAAGCGGGATGAACAGTGCCATCTTCCAGCTTTGTGCTAGAAAGAAGTCTCTCTATTGTGGGCGCTGTTAAAGCTGTCCAGCAAATTTCGAAGCAGCCCAGTAAGATTCACAGAGGACTCTGCCAGTTCTCTTGGCAATGCTCTTGTTATTTGTCAGTCTAAAACTTAATGTGGGAATGATTTATTGATTATAAAATGCTGTGAATGACTCAGACTCATGATTCAGTTATGTGAGAGATGAAAGCATTATTACTTTTTTCCCTTGCTTGTCTGGAGGCAGAAGAAGACAAATACTCTGAGGCCTCTCATGCATTTAAAACAGTATCAGCTACAATACACAGACAAGACCTGAGGAGAATCACACTAAATCTGGAATTAGATATGACTTATCTAAAATAATTTACAAAGTGGCAGAAGGTTTATTTAAAAGAATAGTTCAAATAATTAACACAAATTATTAATTAATAAGAAATACATTGCTTTCTTGCAGCATGTAACTCCCAGTAAAACCACAAATTGACATTTTCACGTCTGTTTGTGTACGGATTAAATAAACAAGGTATAATGTGGCAATTAGTAATACTGAGAGGTTCTGGCATAGGCCTATTTTTTAACTATGGACAGAGCAAGGTTAAATACCCCCAGTCTTTATGCTAAGCTAAGCTAATTGCCTCCTGCCACTGGCTCCATACTTACAGACGTAACCTCTGTAATCTCTCAATGACTTAATGAGAGAGAACACACACACATATACCTCCTTAACATCCTGTATAGTTTGTACAGTATAACTATAAAGGAAACATACACACATATTAAAACAGATAGATGCATACAAACACTTACCAGACATCCTCTCATAATGTTGACGCACAGTCCGGTACAGGGCCGTATCAGTGTCAGCCCCCTGCAGTGGGAACAGTACTGCATCCTCACTAAGCCTCGTCCACACTCTCTGGATAACGTCGCCTTCTCTGTCGCGTTCACAACCTCTCCGGCCAGTCTGAGCAGTCGGCTCAGTGCCCGGCCCACCCTGAGCGCACGGGACAAGCTGCTGACCAGGAGGCGAGGATGGGGTCCGAAAGGGCTGACATCCTGCCGCGTCATCCGCAGGCACTCGTCCTGATTGGTGGAGGGGGAGGAATAGGACTGGGGTGACGTGTGGCCGATTCCGGGATTGAGCAGGCGGCGGTAGACCAACGGGAAAAGGTCATTGTAGAAGTGACGCACAGTGTTGTCCAGTGAGGAATTCGAGTCTCCAGAGAGGTGGTGTTTGATGCTGCTGAACAACTCAAACACTAGGGGGCGACAGTCGGATGCCAGAGCGGAGTAGGCGCTGTCGAACAGAGTGCTGGTCAGGTTAGATGTGAACGACACAAGTGACTCGAAGGTTTCTGGAACGAGAGAAAGGGTCCATGATAATAAGTCATGAATTTAGCTGAAAGCAATATTAAGAAGATTATTAACTAATAGCAGGCTGTTAGTTAAGTTAGCTTATTATTTTTCAGTCTAATGACCCTATCTAGGTGGAATAGCAATAGTTGGTGTAGCGAGCATTTCTGTGCGCTAGCATGCTTAACTAATATGATTTCTGCTTTCATAACCAGTTATGTCAATTCTGTTATTGTTGCTGTATGAACTTGAATAATTTCCTAACCTCAGTCCTGTTGTTATATTAAAGTGGAGACAGGCAATTTCCATCCCTAGCATTTTTCACAACCTATTGCTTTCCGTTTTGGTGGAAGGAGGAGTGACATTAACGTTAGAAGAAAACATTAGGAGTAAAAGAATGAGTTTGTTCGTTCATTCATTTCATTTATAAGTCTCGTAAATCGAGCATTCATTTTCCAGGGAAGTGGCAGACAGAAGTGTAACGTGGATGATTCAGGATTAATGCAGTTTAGGGAATGCAGTAAGTATGCAGAGACTTTTTGGGTGATCAACTAAAATTGGATTAGTTGATTTCAAATGGGGGGCATTGCTGACATAGATACATATGATTCCCACATGTAAGATGTGGCATTTCCATATTTGTGCATATATTAGTTTCCCTTTGTTCCACAGTGTCTGTCTCACTAACCTTGGACTGACTTTATCGTGCTGCATACGAGCCAAAATAGCACACAACTTAATTCAGCCCTGAGCTCGTTTTCACTACCCTGTTATCTATAGTCAGGTGATAATGAGAGGCCCAATCTCAGGATCCACTGTGTTTCCTATGTCCGACACGGTCTAATAAAGTGGACAGCACCCTCAACAGCGGCTGTGTGCCAGTGTGTGTGTGTCTATGTTTGAAACTTGCCAAGTAAAAAGGGTGATGTCAATCTGATGGCATCCTGACTCTCTCACACAAACACACAAACACAGACACCCACAAACACACACACACACACACACCACAAACACCAAAATAAATCTGTTTTATCCGTAACTTTCAGTAAGTCATTCAGTCAGTCAAATGTGCCATGTTTGTGTGTGTGTGTGTGTTCATGTCTTAATCGAACTCCTTATGCTAGAATATTCACAGGTGCTGCAGATCATAGTACAAAGATATTAACTTATTCTCCGTAGGTTGACAGCAATTTATTAGGGAATTTTATTAAATAACACACAAATTGACTAAATAAGGAAATTCATTACAACTCTCCAGGAGAGTTTACAGAGCAGCGACATGGAACTTCGCGTTTCAGTTCTGTACATCATTAACTCATTTTTCTGTCAAATAGATGTAATGAAATGGAAGTTGACTTTGGATTGGTGGTCAGGGGATTGGATGGCGGGTTGGGAGCAGCAGGGAGGGAGCGGCTCGCTTGCCTAAATAACTGGAGTTTGTGTTTGTGGGTGAGATAGTCGTGCGTGCTCA